GTCAAAATTAGTATAGTACAATTTGGACGTGTTAGCAACCGTAGCCTAAAATTAAGGTGCACTTATAACGCACGTACACTTTGGTGCTTACACGTGTAAAACTTACACGAATACACGAAATGATTGCCTATATATATGTACACCCTTTCATAGTGTATATATATTTAAAAAAAAAGGGACTATTGGACTATTAGACTATCGGAAGAAACTGTATGGAAACCCTTTTATTTAACTAAAATGTTAAAGTAGGAACAGGAAGAAGAAAAAAAAAAAAAAGGGGATATGATTATGGATATGGATAGATATAACGCTAATGTGGAGAAGAATTTGAATTTTATAACCCATAAGAACCGTGATGATGAAAATATGAATTCTAGAAATAGAAAAAGTAGTTTTATTGAATTCCAGTATGACAAAGTTGTAAATAATGTGTTAGGATTATTCAGGAAACAGAACAAGCAAAGGTTTCTGTCAACGTCATCTGCCCTACGCAATGACATGCATGAACAAATTTTAAGTTCTCGATTATTCTTAGATTTATGTGAAGATAGAGAAATACTCTTACATAAAATATTAAAAAAAATAAATATTTTGAATTTAATTTATTTTCGTTTTTTAAAAGAATCTGACATCGACGACGTATTCGATTTGCACAAGGAGCTCTTTCCTGTAAAGTACCACTCCGATTTTTACTTCAGCATTTGTAATTTTCCCGATGATAAAGTGATAGACGACGAGGTTACGAGGGTCGTTGAGAAGATTTCTCGCTCTCTCAGGAGCAATGAGGGCGCCAAACGGAACGACGGCGTAGTGAAACCGAAAGAAGTGAACCGAGGCCGAGGGAGAAGCAGCGGAGACCGTTACGGTGTGTCGTGTAACGGCGGCAGCGCTAACCAATCGAGCCCAGCCCCCCCTGAGAAGAAAAATGAAGAGAGGGTAAAGGAACGCGACGCCTCCCCGCGAGGTGACGACGATCATAAAATGAAAGCAAAGAAAGCCAAGGAGAGAGCAGAAACTGAGAAAAATTCAGATTGTAAACACTATGATGTAGACAACATTTCAAATAAAAAGTTGGTGAACTCGGAAGATTACAATTCGTCAAATCGTTTCGTGGACACGGATAATGATGGCAAAAAAAAAATAAATAAAAAGTGGAAGGAAGAGGAAATATTCTCTATAGGTGCCTTCCTTCCCTTTTCATTTATTGATTATATAAACAGTGATCATGTTACTAAATTTCTGAAGAGGAAAACGATAGAAAAGGTGAGTGAAAAGGAGATCCTACTGGATTATATCAAATTTATTGACCACAGTAATAGGTCACATAATGATGGAAGCGACGCGATTTCCGCGCACACAGCCCAGTCAGTAGATACCATGCAGTCTATCCACACGGCCCATTCGGAAAATCCCTTCCAGTCCGGTGATCATATCCAGCCGGATGACCATGGTCATGTCCAGTCTGCTGAGTGCTCCCCTTCAGAGAGCAGAACAAATGACAGAAGAAGGCCGCCTAGTAAGCTATGCACCGAGTCAAGCAATTTGACAAACCCATCTGCTAAATGTTTGCCCACGATTTCTTTCGCGCAAGGCACACATAATGATTCCCCTGTGAGCAAGAGCAAACGAGAAATGTATAGTAATAATAAGAATAAGGATAGTAAAGACGTCTCTAGTAGAAGTGCAGAAAAGGTGACGCCCCACAGCTGGGTCCCCTATGGAAATGGAAACAATATGTGTAGGTACAACGGAAGTCACCTGGAAGAATATATAAAAAAAGAAGAAATATTAAATGAAGAGAACAGTCACGTAGAACATAAAAAGGAGAACTGTGCGAGTGACAAACTCGATGATAAAAATCGAGATAGAAGTGACAATTTCAAAAAGGAAGAGTACATTAAAAAGTACCCCCCAGAAGTCGATGAAATGGAAAAGGATACGAATCGTAACGGTGCACACAGCAGTAAGAATAGCAGCACTTGGGTGTCTTCCCTCCAGAATGACAAAGGCGTGGGAAGAGGCGAAAGTGGAGAATGTGCTGGAAGTGGCGGAAGCGAGAAAAAGCACGGTAACACGCAGTTCAACAGTTACCTAGGCAATCTACACAACAACATATATGATGATAATAATAGGAACATTCAAAATATTTACAGACAGTTGAAGGAAAAGAACATAGAATATGAAGAGAGAGGTAACCCAATTCTTGGGACAGAAAATGTGATAAGTCGATTGAGAGATAAAATCTGTTTAAAGAAAGAAACGATCAATTTGTACAATCGTAATAAAAAGAGAGTGAAAAAAGATTACCTCGTTGGAAGTGTGTCAAATCTGATTAACTACCAAGATGCTAGAAACGAAAAGGATTTTATCAATATATATAACCATTTTAAAAAAAAATCGAATAACCCAAAAAAGGGAAAGAACTACTTAAAATATGTGTACGATTCATCTTTGACCTTTTTAGAGAATTATATACCGCTAGAGAAAAATGGAAATTTCAGCGGGAGGGAAAAAATGACAAGCATCTTCTCATCGAATAATCTGAAAAAGACGGATCAAAATGAACTATCCAACGGAAGCACATTCCATAGAGATGGCAGAAGTGATAGAATGAAAACACAGTCAAACGATGTGCTGAACGAAAATGGTGAGAAGGTACCTAACTGCTCCTCGCATCCCTTCGATCAGGAAAAAAAAACACTCGTACATCTACAGAACGTGCTGAACGACTTATCCGTTTTGCGAACGCAACATGTTAATAAAGACACAAAATTTGAAAAAAAATTATATGAAGAAATTTACATGAATGAAAATATCAAAACTATGACCAAAAAATACATTAAAAAAAAAATTAACAGTATTTACATTTTAACTGTGGGAATAAGTGAGTACTTTAGGGGACTGAACTTAGCTTCCTACCTCATTGAATATACCGTGTTTTATTTCTATTTCATTATTTACAGAATATTTCTGTACAAGAGTAAATTTTATTGCTACATCGATAACGATATGTTTTATAGCATTTCTCCTAGCCATCTGAGTGATAAACACCAGAACGATTTTTTCGACGAGAATTTACTCAGGGACAACTCGTCGGACGATTTGTGCTCCATCCTGAATGATGAGAAATCGTTCCCTGATAGCGACCACAAGAGGAAGAGCATAAATGGAAAGGAAGACATGTTCATATGGGAAAGGATGAACTGCGTGGAAGAGGAAAGGAAAACATCCGATGGGGCACCAAGTGGTCCTACTAACTGTTTGCACGAACAGTTGGAGGAACAGAAAAGCGAAAATGAGTTCGCCAATCGGAAAGACTCTGCGCGGAAAGAACATTTCGTGGATGCGCAAATGGATGACGAGAACAACGTAGTGGCATCGAATTTTAAAGATAAGTCCCCCCTTTGTGGTAATTATCCAACTGAGCTTAACATCCATCAAGCGGACCAACATAGGAATAACAGAAGGGAGAGTCACCAAATGGGGGACAACCCCCCACCCACTTTTAAAACGTACAAAATGAACAACTTGAATAGTCATGACAATGATGGAAACAAACGCAAAAACAAGTGGAGCACCGAAAAGTGCAAAAATTATAGCATTTCTAATGGAGTTCTACGGGAGTGTTACAAACAAATCACACTGAATGATTATTTGCACCACTTGTATGTTGTTATTCATAACAAAAACGCGGAGATGTTAGCAGAGAAGGGGACACAAAAGGGAGAAACGCAAAGAAGAGATCCTTTTCCTGCGTTCTTTAAATTCCCCCTATTTAAAAGTCCCCTATCCTTCTCAAGCCTAAACAATAAAATGCTGGAATTTTTTTTAAACAATTTTTGTGCCTTCAATTTAAAGGACAGACCATTTTTTCACCTAAAAAATGTTAATGCAAAAAGGGCTTGCTTGGATTATAATGATCATGATGATGTACCCCTGCCTCTGTACATGTACCTACATGTGATAGATTATAACAAAGCGGCCATAAATTTGTACAACAAGCTAAGCTTCGATTATATATGCACGTATGACAATTTTTATGATATAAACAAAATGACCTTCTCTTCCTATTTGTATGCATATTTCTTTTAGCTCCCAATTTGTTCTTCGCGCGCGCCTCTAAATTTGCGTCTCTGTGTTTGCGTTTCTTCCTACGCCCATGTGTTATGCTTTATTTGCAACGTGCATCGCGAAATGCGGGAAAATAAAAAAAAAAAAAAAGTTGCAATGGGGCACACACATCAAGCTGCGCAAATTCCCTTTTGTATCTACCGTGATCCTCACGCTTCCAATGTTTCACAATTTATACGTTGCACGTTACACATTTTTTAAGGGGGAGAAATACGAAACAGGTAATGTCAAAGAGGGGATTAAACCTTTTTAACTACAAACCCAGCTGGATTATTTCTTTGTTATTTTCATTCATTTTATTATTTTTTTTTTTTTTTATCAACGTTTCTCTGTCAAGAAAATGGTTCATACGTATCCGCTTATGTATGTGCCTGTAATATGTATTTGCTTATTTATACATTGCATGTGTGGGTAATGTCCCTTCGATCTGCTTTCCAGCCACTTGGTCCCTGCACACACATGTGTCCACGTGGTACAAATGATGCTTAACTCATGTTATGACAACAACGCCTCTCGAAAAGCAAAGTCTTCTCGTTTAAAAAAGATCACTCAGCGTGAGTGTGTGTGTTCTGAGCGAAATGAGCATTCACAAAAAAAAAACAAAACCTTCCCCTCAGGGAGGGGAGGGCTTTTATCCACCTAGGACAAGCAGAAAAGTGCGACATAAGCAGTTGCAAAATAGCGCAACAGAGTAACAGCGTAACGGCGAAACAGCCGGACGGAGAAACTGTACAATCAAAAAAAAGGTGGGAAAAAATGCCCCACTGGGGAATGCGTATTATGGGAAGTAACGCACACATAAGTTTAGCAGCAAACTGTTACGTATGCTTCTTCTTTTTTTTTCTCTTTACCCCTTCGATGCCGAAAATTCAGAGGTAAATATCCTGAGGCATCACGGGAGGGGGCGCAACCGCGGCCGCCCCACAAATGATGGGGCTACACTTGGAAAATTTTGTGTGCTGCAAAACGGAACTCAGATAGTTCATTTTTTCTTCCTCACTTGGACAATTCGCAAAGGCATCATGGCAAATGAGGATTTCACTAAACCCTTCCCTTCTCAGGTGACTTATTTTATTTTCTCGGAAATTTCTTTCCGCATTTTGCTGATACAGTGGATATAATTTCCATCCACTCTCCCATTCCAGATAAATTTTGTAAAAGGGGTCACAAATGTGCAGCACGTAGGGACCATGGGAAAATGTAATAAATTCATAATTTAGCATTTTCATATATTTCTTTAAAATGTAAATTTCTTTTTCTCCTTGCATATTTTTGTTAACGCTACATGGAAGGGTCCGAATTTTTTGAAGGAAGTTTTTATAATCACTTGGGAGAAGGCAGTATATATTTTTGAAGTCGTGTATCAGGTGCATTTCGATGAGTTTTAGGTTGAAGACGAGGTTGTCCCACTTGTGCGTCTGTGCCGCGTCCTCGCGAGTGTCGTCATTGTGGGGGGTTTCTCTTCCGGAGTCTTCACTTCCAGAGTTTCCACTTCCAAATTTTTCTCTTCCAAATTTTTCACTTCCAAATTCTTCACTTCCAAATTCTTCACTTCTAAATTTTTTACTTCCAAATTTTTCACTGCCAAATTTTACGCTGGGGTTATTTTCCCTGGGGGAAGTCTTGCTACATCTCATCAGCTCCTGTTCAAATGAAAACATTTCCTCCGCCGTGGGAGAAAATCCCCTCGCCGACGCTGTACTACCATTGCCTTTGTGAGGGGGCCCTCTACCATTGGTGTAATCCTCTGAAAGGTTGCTTCCCTCCCTTGAGGTGTCTCCTAGTGGAAATTTTATATCATCGGCTCGTGCGACCCTCCCTTCAAATGGGTCGAAGTTTGTCACTACGTTGTTTATCATTTGTTCGTCGTGCGGCGTCTGGGATGGAGGCTCGGGGGTGACTCCCCCTTCTTTTGTTTTCCCCCGATGGAGCGAAACTAGGCTTTGGGCATCCCCCTTGAGGGGCCTCTTTCTGACTTTCATAAATTTGTTCAAATGGCTGAAGGTGAGGAATATATTTTTTTGGGATATCATCTTCCACTGTGCCATCTTTTTAAACAAGCTAACAACATGACTGACTTGATTAAAGCTGGCAATTTTCTTCGCATATATGACATTAATTTTGTAGGTATGTTTTTCCGACTGAATGAATGACGGGACGACGGGTAAAACTTGGCACATAGCTTCACACGGCAACTGGGAAAGTTTATTCACAATATGAATAAGTAAAATTTTTACAAATGTTTTGTCCACATAACTGAGATAGTGCGAATTCATCAATATTAAGTATAAATGGTATGTCCTGATTTTTTTTATCCTTTTGATAATCTCAAAACTTAAATTGTTCAAATATCGCTCATTCAGAAATTTGCTCTTATTGTATCCGTAAAAAATTCGACACAAATAATGGTCGTTTAGAATGTTCACATTTTGAAGAAAAAAAATGGATAACAAGTCAAATATATTTTTTACATGTTCGTTGCATACAAACTGATTAGACGCTTCCATGTTCTTGTTCTCAATATTGGTGTATATAAATATGTTGTCTTTTTTGAGTAAGTTATCTACATGGTTGTTTCCATTCCTTTCGCTTCCTAGACATTTCTTCACCTTTTTTTTCTCATTTAAGCATGCGTCCTTTTTGATTAACATGTGTCCATTTTTATTATCATCCTTGTTGCCACAAGTTTCGAGGAAAAAAGCGCAACCGCTGTCGCCATATTTTTCCCGTTTTGTCTTTAAAAAAAAATATGAATTAATGTAACAAATGTTTAAATAAACCTTTACCAAATCGTGAATGTCGAAAAAGGGTTTCTTTGGGATGTTTTTCACCCCCTCCTGGTAACACTTCGGATTTAATATATTTTTTTTATTTTGGTGAAAATCAGTAGAAATGCAATTTACACTATCTAACACTAAATTGTGCAATTCTTTCATGGTCGAATTTAAGAGGTGCAATTTTAGTAACTTATTTTTACTGCAGTATCCTAGATAGTATAGCACTTCCCTGTTATTTAAATTTTGCAAATTTAAATTTTCAAAATTGGGGGAAATTTTCCCCTCAAAATGGAACTGATTTCCACAATTCTCATTTGTGGCCCCGGACTTATTTGGAAGTTTGACATTTGGCTGACTTGCGGTATTGAAGAAAAAAATTCCCTTCCTTCTGCTTCCCTTTTCGAGTTTGGAGAATCCAATTTTTAAGACAAACATTTCGTCCCCAGCCTTGGTGATTCCTTCGCCGAGGATGCGGCGTACATGTGTCAGGGGCGCGCAGAGCATCGCATAGGAAAAAGTTTGCGCCCACGTGAAACATCTGCATCTTTAGCAAATCTGGGTTTTTTCTTTTTCCGTTCACTCAAATTTGTGTTTTTTTTGTGTTTATTCAAACTCAAATTTTTTCCTACTCTCCGTTGTTGCGTAGCAAATGTGGAAGAGCTGTATTTTGATAGCTCTCCAATTTTGGCACTTTTCATTTTGTGATTTCCGCGTGGGCTCCCGCTGCATTGCTTCGGCACCTACACCCTGCTTTGTTTGCTTTCCTCACGTCATTTTTTCGTCATCACTGTGGTGACTGTCATTATTCTCATTATTGTCATTTTTTTTTTTTCTTTTTTTCTGCCCGTTTTTGTTATTTTTTCTTTTTTCCTCCGCACATTCCTCCCACATCGCACGGTAATTTTAAAAAGGCTACGAAAAAAATGTGGCAATTTTTTGGACCGTTTTACTCGTTGCCTGCATGCTTCAGTATAGAAAATTGAAAGGGGCGAACTCCGACGTGGTGCTTTTAAGGCCTCGCCTCCTTCGAAGGGAGAGACACCCCCAAGGGGTAAATGGGCACATTGCCAAAATTGCTACCAGAAACTGCGAATGAATGAGAGCCCCATTCTAGCGCTTATATCGTACTTTTAATACTAACAAGGCGAAAACGTCACCCCCCTCCTCATTTGATACCTACATAAAGTGTCCCTCCCCATGTGCCAAACGCGTACTAGGTTGCATACATAGGCATGTACACAAAGACATATACACAGAGGCATATACATAACTACACACGTAGCTGCATGCGCGGAGGGCTCACAATCTTTTACCAGCACCTCCACCCCGGATAACCAACGAGTGGAACGATGGCAACGATGGAGGAAGGATTGAGCACCATGAAAAAAATCAAAAGCAACATGAGTAAACTTTGCTTCAATAGGTCCAACAAGCTGAACGGAGATTTTAAGGGTCAGAACGGAAAGAAGTAAAAAAAATAAAAAATGAACATTACTAAGAAAGGCACACATGCACAGAAATGTGCACGATGAAAAAAAAAAAAGACTCATATAAAAAGGTGTCCTTTTTTTGTTTGCTCCTTTTTAAAGATGACCAAATTGAAATAATCCTCGACAACAAGAACATAACGCCCAAGCCGATATACTTCAATTTTCAAGAAGCAGAAGCGAAGAAATCTTTTGACCAAATAGGTAAAGCTCCCTCATCTCTTCTTCGATGGGATTGTCCAGGGGGGCCACAAAACGAAGACAACACATGCATACTCACATTGACACATGTGTATTTTTGTGATTACATCTGCTCGTTTGTGTCCCTCCCACTTATTATTTTTTGAAGAACCCCTCCAGTGGTGGACAAGCTGGTTATTATTTACTCCTCCCAGCTACCGACACATGTGATGGTTCTTCCTTTCCCCTCATCAGACTACTTACTTAAACAGTTTGATGACAAAAATGAATTTATCGACGAGAAGGGAAGCTCAACAAAAGCTACTGATGAAGCTAATAAAATAGGAGCTATAATTGATGGAGAGCCAAAACGTGGACTGGGGGAGCAGGATTCTGTTGAGGCAGAAAACGAGGAAGGGGGACCAAAAGATATTCAGTACGAAGAGGACATTTTAAAATCCTACGATGGTAAGTTGATAGACTACTTGTGGGTGAGAGGCTCGAATTGTGGAGCATTTTATGCGCGTTCCCCTCCACTGCGACTGTGCAGCTTCTTGGCTGCTTCCTTCTCAAGTGCAATGATGTTCCATTTTAACCTGCGCAGAAATCCGGTTGAGCGAATCAGAAACGATCAACCTGCTGAACATCCCCAATATGCTAAACGACATGGAGGAGGAAAAAGAGGCCACTGAAGAAAAAAACCAAAGATACGAAAAACTGATCAACAATGACGAAAGCAATTACATATGCAAAACCATGCAGACATTAAATGTGTTCAGAAAGAACAAGGACGTCTACGTTTCCACCATCAACAAACAGAACAGAAGTTCCCAGACGAATTTACACGAACTGCACAAGTTGACTATAAGGAATCCATCGGACATGTTAAGCGGAAAAAAGAAAGGCGGAAAAAAAAAGAAAAAAAAAAAGAAAAAAAAAAAAGAAAAAAAAATACCACTCTAAGGACTTCTCTGCATTAGGAAGTCCTACGCAGTGATGAAACCCGACGTGGAGCGGGTGCGAATCATCCATAAGCAGTTCGCTCCACGTGCACCCATTCACAGCCGCATCGGAAGGCACAATCACGTCGGTCACTTGTCCACTTCAGAGCTTCACCAAGTGCACCCACTCGTTCTCCCCTCCCCTGCATGCGTACAGATCCGAGCTGCTACACAAGAAATTTTTGAAATATAGAAACAAAAAGCTAAAAAAGATCATGGACGAATACGGAGACTCTCTAAACATTAACGAAAGAGTCATTTTGAAGAAAAACATGTGGGTTCAGATTGTTGATAAGAATGTAGTAGATAACAAGCAAACGACGATCATACCAAAATCGTTTTATAAGTCCAAGAAAAATAATACATCCCTTTTTAATACCCTCTTTTCCACAAAAAATATGTCTCGAACCTTGTCAAATAAAAGTAGAACATTCAGAACTAGAAGCAAATTTAAAAATATGAAAACGATGAAATTTTTAACAAGTAAGGAGAATTCTTCCGTGGTGCACCTCTCTCTCTGTGTGATGCACATCCGTGTTGAGATGTGATGTGCTGCTCATGTTAGATAGTTGTATCCCCCCATCTACTCACTCACTGATTCTCCTGAGTGTGTGCTGAACTGATGGGGAAAAGAAGGAACCCTCCCCCCCTCGTTCGTCACGCAGAGTGTTACACAGACGATTACACAGCGGATTAGACAGCGGACTACACAGCGGTTTACGCAATGTGTTACATGCGCATGTTACATCTCTCGTGCCAATGCTCATGTGCCACATTGTGGGTGTCCCTTGTTCGTTCTTTTGCTCCCCCTTGTCAAAGGCAGCTTCAGCGAGGACGAATATCTAATCAAGTCGATAATCAAAAAGAAAAGGGAGCAAACGGACGCGTCCCCAGAAACGCCAGAAGACACTGGGGATAGTGCAAATATTATCCCATGGAAAATAAACAACCAGAAAAAAAATTTAAACAGAGGATCCTTTGTTCATATATTAAAAAATATGGAAAAGTACGTAGTACAAAATGTCTACTATTACGAGCAAATGCTGTACAAGAACATCCACTTGAGTTACCTAAATGATAGGAGAAAAAATAACAAAGTGAAAATGTTCGATGGGGAGACCTACGACGCCCTTACGAACCCAAACATTAACTATAGGAGAAAAAAAAAGATCATCAGAATGAAAATAAAAATGAATTTCAAAAAGACAATTAACTTTTACAAAATTAACAAATTCGTTGATATTGCTAGTAAGGAAGAGATGCTTGAGCAGAGAAGTGCACCCCCCATGAACGGAGGCCCCCAGTGGGCTACTCACTTGGACCTGCTCAAACGAGTAGCTGTTCTGTCCAAGGGGAAGAAGAAAAAAATAAGACGACAAATTTCATCTGGAAAGTTGAGGACACAAATCAGGAAAAGGGCAGCAAGGAGAACCGGAAAAGGAGTCCTCAATAAAGTTCCAAACCAAGAGGAAGACCAGACAGAAAAGACAGCTGAAACGCAGGCAGATGATAAAAAGGCGCCCGAACCAGTGTGCACTGCAAATGAACCGAATAAAACTGAACATGACAAAACCGAGGGAGAGCACCAAATTTTCGATATCATTGCAAATGAAGAAAGCAATGAAGACAAAATAAAAAAAATCAGCACGCTGATCCTAGATGATGTTTTAAAAAATAACTGCAATGATGAAAAAAAGAAGCAAATTTTGGAAAAAGAAAACATAGAAAAAAAAAAAATATCATATGTGCTAAGGAAGAAAGAGAAGTTTACCTCCATCAAAGGGAACAGAATAAAGTTCGTCTCGGAAGTGAGACAAGACGACGGCATGTTCATGTGTGACGATGATGATCATTTCATGTGCAAAGATGATATGCAAAATGATTACAATGCCTACATGGAGGAATATACAGAGAAAGGGGACACACATGGGAAGGCCAATAATAGCAACCATCTGTACAAACTGAAGGGGAAAAAATACATCAAAAATATTTCCATTGACAAGCTCTTCCAATTTCATTATAACAAGTTAGAAAAAATAGTGACATCTATAGATACGAACAAATTTTATGAAGACTACATAACAGCTAGCTATTCCAACACACTAGACATTGGAAGCTTCCACAATAGCAAAGGAAACGTTGCTATTTTTAGTTACATCAACCCAACGTACCCACTAAGGCTGTATGACGTAAATTCAAGTGTGCTGAAAATTATGTACTCGAACAATAATCCCAATCTGCTAGTTGCCACCTTGTCCAATGGACACATCAACATTTACGACACTAGAAATAGGGATCAGCTAGCTGTTTTGAAATCTACTAGCATAAAAAGTTATCACAACTGTTTTGAACCCATATATGACATCTGTTTTAAATGCAACTACATGGGAAACAATACGGAAGAAAGTATTTTCTACTCTGCTCATGAAAATGGGTATGTGTACCAGTGGACTATAGAAAAGGAATTAAAAAATAAAGAAATTTTATACCTAAAGAATAAAAAAAATGATTTGTATCAAGGTCTCTCATCAGTATTTGAAAATAAAAACCTGTCAAATAAACCATTTAACTCTTCCCTAACTTGTATTGACATAGATAATTACATGAACCACGATGAAGATTTTATCATCAGCAACATAAAGAAGGAGGATGCAACGCACATCGGCGACAAGCAAATGCGTTACGACAATTCGGGGGAGAACATTCCTAACTGTGATATTCAGGAACCGAGCGAGGGCGCTCCAGACAACACAGCTTCGCATGAAGCAGGGGCCAACGGAGCTGCGGCAATGGTCGATGCTGCCGGGGAACACTATGTAAAGAGCATATCTAGGGAAGAAGAACTGCTAAACCATTACAAAAATATTACGGAAAACATCATTGACAAAAAAATAAAGCAGACACACTCTTACTACTACCTCGGTAAGTGCTGCACACACAGCAAAAAGTACCGGGATATGTGTTCACACTTAGGTGGAACTTTTTAAACGCACTAAATTTCATGCACCTTCTTGTGCCCACGAGGGATTCTACATAAAATGCCCCCTGAATGAGTTTTTCTCCGTGAAGCTGTCATATGACCTCACAATGGGACATTAATCATTTGTGCAAACTGCGCAGATACCCGAGATAAACACGCTTGGAAATGCGTTCCACAATTTCCTCTTTAATCCAATTTAGGCACAAAGAATGGACTAATATACAGGTGCAATAGCTGCTATCAGAAGTCGTACTTAAATTATTATGTAGCCCATTTCGGGGCTGTAAACAAAATAAAAATAAATAAATTCGACCACGACATTTTCCTAAGTGCCGGGGAAGACTGCACAATAAAGTTGTGGCACAAATTCTCGAATAAGCAAATCACAACTTTTAAGTCGAAGAATTCATTCAGCTCCATCAACGATATACTATGGTTACCGAACATGCTCGGATGGGCGCAAGGCAGTCATTTGCCCATGCGTGAAATGGACACACGCGCAAGCATATGTAACTATGTTTGCTTTGCGTACAATTAACGGTGCTATATGTAACACCACGTATGCATTTCTGCCCCTTTCTCTCTTTTGCCACGCAGGATGCCCAACAATTCCACGTCCTTCTTCTGCTGCTCGAATGATGGCCGCGTGGAATTATGGGACTTCAATTTTTTGTCCAAGGACCCCTTGATCATTTTCTACCCCAACGTAGTTGAGGCGTCTAAAACTATATGCCTCAAGTAGGAGCCGCAACGCGTGTATCAGCGGTCTATCAGCAGTGTCTCAGCAGTGTGTACGCGGGCCACACCCCATGTACTTATCTGCACCCCATTGGCATGTTCCTTTTTCCCAATTTTCCCCCAAAGGATGTTTAACAAGAAGGACATTTTACTGTGCGGAGATAACCTAGCGAACGTTTCGATGATCAAAATAAACAATTTGGTCGACATGGGGTTAGATGACTATCAACAGAAGATTAAATTGACGGAGTGTCTCAAGTGTTTGGATACCTACGACTATTTCTGAGTGACACCTAATCGGCGCTATCGCGTATATAGGCTCATTTGTCCGCTCAATGGTATATACGATCATACTCACGAAGACTTCATTTAAACAATCGCGTCGCGCCTTATTTTCTATATGAACGGCACACATAATGCCGAATTTTCCCTTAAGTTCATTTCCACCTCTGCACAATATCCATTTTTTATTGGTCGCAATACAGTCAGAAAAAATAACTTGTCGCTGTTTGACGCCTGCACGCGGGGTTGCCCGTGTCATGCCGCAATTAAATTCAATTAAATTAACTTAAATAAAATAAAGAAGCTCGCATTTTCATGCGCAAAGGCAGCAATGTACATGGGCATTCCTTCAGCGCTATTTTCCCCCCATCTTCGCATGCACGTATGTTTAAATTTATATGCCCATCCATTATGCGTCGTTTTTTGCCTTGCGATATATAGCTCCTTTAACAAAATTATGTTTTCCTCAATTTGAAAGAAAAAAAAGAAAAAATCACCTTTCGGTTGAGACTTGAAATAAATGCACTTCCTTAGTCGCTTCTAGATGACCAATTTTACGATTAACAATTCGCAAATTTTTCGCAAAAAGGCCAACTAAGGCATTCTTCAAAGGCTTGCTAAGCCTGTAAAAGGAAAGTACATATTTGGAAAGAGGAGTAGGACCTTGTCACTACAAACAAATGCTCTGCGAAGCGCGATTGCTTAAAGAGGGTTTTATGGTGAGGTCCCCTTGGAAGGAAAAAAAAAACAAAAGGGATTAACCGTATAAGCAAAATTTACACATTTGCGCGTTTATGATTTTGCGATTTTTCGAGTTTACGAAGCGTCAGTTTGGCCGCAAACCGTCTGGCGCGTCATCAGATTGACGAATGAACACATTAACGGGTGGGAAACTCGCAGTTTTGTGCCATCCGCCCATTTTGCTTCGTTTTACTTCGTTTGATTTCCCCTCTTTCCCTAACTGAGACCTTCGCCACGGGGGAAATATGGACGCATATAACATCGAAGAGTTCAAGTAGAGTGCAATACGGGATAGAACAAAAAAGCGGCACGGAAAAAAAACAAAAAAAAAAGAAACAATATTTTTTCTTCCTTCGTAAAAAAACACGCACATAGAAGGGACGGGGGTGGTGCACAAATTCCCCAAACGCATTTTCAATTTTTTGTAATATTTCCTATCACAATTACTCTGATCAATGATAAAATAAAAATTGTCAGGCAAGAAACGGAAAGAAATCTGAAGGATGACAGAGTACATTTTTAAAAAAAATAAAAATGGACGCGCTCCCGAAAAGCAGCACACAAAGTAGCCTAAACAATTTAAACCAAGGCAATGACAAGTACGACCAAGCAAAGGGTGCAGAAAATAACCACAATGAAAATGTAGACACATACGTATGTGATGAAAGTGAAAAGAATGAGTTATCCAAATCGTCACCATCAGAAAATGACATGACAAAAGAGAATCAAGATAGTAACGCGAATGCAAAGGAGGAAAAAGATAAGGAGGAAAAGACGGTAATAAATGATTGCCCTCCGGATGGAGAAGACAAACCAAAAAAACTATCCAACGATTCGATAGATGAGAAATTTTCAGAAGACCAAAATGAAAAGGAAACAAGGGATGATGCAAATGCAAAATATACATATGGCGATTACGAAGGGGCAATAAAAATCTGGCTAAGAGGACTAAGGTCTATCAATTATGTCCTTTCCAAAAAGGAAGAACTAAGCAGTGAGCGTCTGGAATCATTCCAAAAATTACATGCCATCTACTGTAGCAATATTGCTCAGGGGTTCATGAGATTAAGTAAATTCTCAGATTGTGTTAAATATTCTCTTATGGCTCAAGAAAATGACAAAAAAAATGTGAAAGTTTACTTCAGATTGGCTAAAGGATATTTTATGTTAGGTGAATATGACAAATCTATACAAGTTCTAAATGAAGGAATTGAAATTGATAACAACACAGCTTTGGTTAATTTGTTAGCCCTCGTGAAAAAAAAAAAGGAGACTTTTTTAAAAAAGGAAAAACACATGATGAAATATATCTTTGATAATCTCAAGGACACACCTTTAATTCACGACAAGAATTGTTCCAATTCGATTTTCAGAGCTGTCTATTCGTTAATATCTCTTCTTCTCATGTTTGTATATGCATTCTTCGTTCGATCCTCCAGCCTCTTAGCTCGCATCTTTAAAAAATGGAAAGTAAAGAGTGTCTAACAAGGCAAAAAAAAAGGGGGGGGCCGGGACAACTGATAAAACGTCAATATATGCAACATGTTTGTTTGCGAAGACCTCACGAATCCAATAAACGGGAAGACGCACCCGCATACTGAGCAATATGGATATGTGGACATATATGCCTTTGCGTACGCATAGTTGTACTCCTTATTAATGATACAGCCACGCTGTATCGCTCCACGCGCGCCCACAAAGTGGCTAACACTTTTGTAGCTTTTTTGTGGGTGCCTTTTTTTTTTTATAAATAATCTTGTAATTTAATTTGTACTACTTTTTTTTTTTTTTTTTTTACCGATTTGTTTTGTATACTGCTAAAAATGTACGTGCCTCACATGTGACGGATGCTTCATTTTATGTTCTTCCCTGGTGCAAAAAATGGAAATTTCCTCCCCGCTGAAAATGGATTGGCAAGTTTGAGCGAGGAGATACGGGAAGCCAAAAAAGAAAAAAACGCGAAAGATGCGAAAAACGCGAAGAAATAAAGTTTAAATCTTAAACCCAAAAAAACTGAAAAAGAATTTTAAAATGGTTACATTATGCTACACTTATCGAAGTGAAATTATTCTCCTTGTCAGATATCACCATCTATATCTGCACACGAACACGTGCACAAATGCAACGGCGCATCTTTAAGGTATGTTGCTTTATACGTCCTTTGGCTGTTACACATGTGTACGTGTCCGTACAAAAATTAAAAAGGCGAAGGGAGGAAGGGGGAAAAAGCGCGTAAGAGAGATGAGGAAAGAGGAAATGCGATCTCCGAAATGCAAAATGCCAAGTCCCAAATGCAAAGTGCGAAACGCGAAAGACGAAACAAAAAAAAAAACAAATGCATAATTTTAAAATACACACACACAGCTTTAATGCTGTACGTCGAGGAACCTTTCAACATAAAAAAAAGGGGAAATAGAATGAAGTGAAATAAAGTGAAGTGAAATAAAATGGAGTAAAATAAAATGAAGGCTTATGAGATGGGGAAATTGGTTCATCAGCGCGGCTACCTACTCGCGTAGGCACATAAAACCATGCATTTATTCATAAATAATATTTTTTAAAAAACTAACTGAGGGAATGAGAAATCATATCCTTCCTGATGTACACTTGGGGCTAAATACGTCACGTGCGTGCCTGCGTGCGCGACCGTACATACATAAGACACACACAAAAGATAAGAAGGGTTTATTTACACAAATAAAAGCAGGGGTACGTAGGCGTGATGTGCCCTCTGAGTGTAGCATGAGATATCAGAACAGCCAAGCGGAGCTACGTTATCGTTGGGGTTGTCTTCTTTCCCGCCCGTCCTCTCTCCATTTCCCCCGTCGGGTTTTCAAATGTATAATACCTGCATGCGAGCATGGGTACGAGGCATACACGCCAGAGTGTATATAAACAGATCGGCGCTGCACAAGCGCTAAAGAATCTCCTCCTTGTATTCCAACTGAGAGCGCTGAAGAATGGGTACCCACTCGTCCTTGCCCCGAATAAGCCGCTTGGTGTCCGCGTCAACGACGAATTTGGGGATATTTCGGTAGAGCTGCTCGAGAAAGTCATCAGACACTTTTGGACCCAAATTTGACACCAAGCCACGAACCTTCAATTGCAGCTCATGCCTTGTGCTTATCAGTTCCCGTTCGTTGTCTCTCCAGACATTTATCTTGCCACAAATAACTTTTAAAAGTATTTTCATTTGTCTTAAGAGACTAGGAATTTGAGCAGAATAATTTAAATTGATATAGTAACAAATGGGTAAGATGCACATGCTCAAAATTACAAATGCGATTCTTTTTAACCAGGACTCGTAGAGATATAAACTAAACACTAACCCATACATTATGTTAAAAGTTGGTAATAGGACTAGAAGCACTAAGACCTTGTAGCTAGCCACCACATCACAACCTTGAATTTTTACTGTACTATTTTTGAGGGCAGATTCTCTATGCTTCTCGGCCAGATAAATGGAAATAGCAACAAGGGGTAGCCATAAGAGAGAGAAAGTCATACCAAAAATTACACAAAAAATTAAACTACAAATGTGCTCAATAAATTTTAAGGTAGCTGCGGAAGTAGACTGTTTAAGCATCCATACTTCGTCATCTTTTATTTTATTTGCCTTCAACAATTTCTCATAGCACTTCAATTCATAACTTAAATTTTGAATTTCTTTGGAATTTCCAAATTTCCAAAACATTTTACAAAATAGCTGTAAATTATTGTAAATTTTATTTTTCGATATTGTCATTCGTTCGGGAGTGTACAAACTTACACAAAGTTCTATGCATCTGCTTGTTTCATGGTCCTTGGACGTTAACATGCAGCTTCGCATTCCTTCCTCAATTTTGCTAAGAACTTTGGATATGGTTTCCCTATGATTATTATTATAATCTTTACACAGATCCTGCGAAATAATGATTGCATTTCCATAAAATAGCGTAACACAGCCTTGCAGCTGATAGAGTTTGGAGTATGACAACCCTACAGGAATGATGGACACATCCTCTACCCCATCGGCCAATGCACATAGCGTCATGATGGCAACCCCAGGTTTTAATGGCAGCAAATTTGTTCTATCGTGAGAACCTCCCTCTGGGAAGATCCCAATGGTATCTCCATTTTTTAAGCTATTCGTAACTAAATTATAAACTTCCGTTTGATTAATTTTGGGAATAATTTTAAAAGGAACTCCATTTTTTTTATCTTCACATTCTATGTTTATAGCATCTTGTATAATAAGATCCGTTTCGGATTCAATTTTCGTAACTGGAAAGATTTTATTTTGTGTTAGTAATTTATCCCCCATTTGTACGTCTAACTTAAATCTGGTGTTTATTCCTTTGATTTTTTTCTCCCCTTTAACCCAACATATGTGTCCTATTCCTTTGAATTTTAAATCTTCTGGTCTCTTTACACTTATGCATCCTATAATGCTGGCTAGCTTCCCTATGACAGCTCTCCTCATGGATTTTTCCGCAACAATAAATTTGACTTGCCTTGGAATGCTTGCTACTAACACACATGCGTCAATGAACTGATTATTGTGGTTGCCCACAAATATAACTGATCCGTACAGCGGTACATTTTCAGGGTTTATCACGTTCACGTCTCCAAACAGGGAGCTAACAATTGCTTTACATAACCATCTTATTAGGAAGTATAAATCTGGCATCCTTAATCTTTCGGTGGGTGGCACACGTTAATTAATTTTACATATATACGTGTACCTATATGGAGGCATATACGTACATAAAAAGGAGAGTGCAAGAATCAAAAGGGGGGGAGGGGTAATCGTTTTGCAAGAAATGCGAACAAAAGTAACTGTACCAGGGGGCGCATTAATTCGGAGGGGATGATGCCTCCCCCACTCCCTTGCAGAGAGTGAAATGGGCAAACGTAGAGTGGAATATACACGTGGAACGAAAAAAAAGGTTGAGCATGTAAACATATGGTGAAAAAAAGCTAGAAGAGGAAAAAAAATTGAAGGTTTAAGAACGGATGAAGCATTACCCGTGCGCTCGCTCCCTCAATTGCATTTAGATGGGGAACGAATAACGAAGTTTGTGCTGTTCCAAAGAAAATTGCTTGTTTGCTAGTTACAAATTGAGTAAGCTCTAGTTAAAAATGTCACACAAGGGAAGCGTATGTATTATGGATACTACGTATGTTCCGTGCAAACATACGTACTTAGAATGTTCAAACCGTAACGAGCGCGAAAACCAAAAAAATGACTCCAAACCTTACGCGCTAAAAACGAATTCGATAATGTTATCGCAACGGGAATTTCTCTCATTCGAATGCCCAGATCAGGAAAGGGAAAGAATTTCAATTTTCTCAATACAAATGTATTTTATGTCATTGAGTTTTCACGTTAATTAAGAAAAAAACAAAAAAAAGAAAAAGGCCCAGGATTTACATTTTGCGCTCTTGTAATGGCGCATTATATGGCGCGCCACGTGGAATGAGTACATGAAAAGAAAATGGCCATAACAGCACAGCACATCTTAGAAAAAAAAAAATATGCTTAAAAATGCTTACAAATGCGTACAAACGTGCATAGCGGAAGACGTACAAGTTACAAACACCATGTGAAAGGGAAAATCCTAACTGAAATAAAAAAAAAGAATGAATAACTGTGTTGAAGCCTTCCCCGCGTTGTGCACATGATTGATTAAAGTCCTTGGCTCACTTCATTCCGAATTTTTTTTTTTGTTTTCTCCTTTTTATGTGCTACGTCGTGTAACTTCCACTTGTGCATCATTAATTAATGCTCTCCATAATCATTCGTGGATTTATGCAGCAGGAAAAAAAAAATTGAAATGGTGTTAAAGGTTGTGTTACATGTGCACATAAAAAGAGAACTCTCTGTTCTTTTCCAGCATTTTGAATTCCCCGCAATATGCTTAGTTGAATTTATCTCGTGGAAGTGTATCCTCTCTCATGGAATTTCATGCACATATCTGCTGGGTTAACCCAGGTCACTCTATCAGAGGTAACATTGTGCAAAATGCGTTAAGTTCTGTTTTGTATTTTCCCATTGTGGCACCTCGCGTTGGATTGTAAATTCGAACAGGGGAAGAGGAAAAAAAATCGCGCAAAATGTCCAACATGTTACTAAATTAAAACAAAATAGCAAAAAGAAAAAAAAAGTATATACTCCCTTTGACGAATTTATTTTCTCCATACGAAACTGCAAAAGAGGAAACAATGCGAATGCGTATTTTTACGAGTGTGCTGTGAGGAAAAGCAGTCTTGGGGCAAATAATTTTTCTTTTTTCTTTTTTGCTCCCCCTTCTGCAAGTGGAAATGAATAGCAAGGAAATGTAACCTCCGTTGGGAACTAAACACATGCGAGGCGACCGGCGTACAAAAGTGACCCTTTTGACATCCCATAATATGTGCAAGTTATCTGTTCCATAAGGACTTGCAATCCTTTTTGTTAAAAGAATTGTTCACCCCGTATCAGAGACTAGGGATGATTTTCCCCT